TATAGAAAATCAAAAGATTCCACAAAAGCTATTAGAGGTAGTACATGAATTCAATAAAGTTCCCAGATAAAAAATTAATATTCAGAAATCTGTTATGGTTCTATACACTACAAAGGAACTACCAGAAAGAGAAATTAAGAAAAACAATCCTATTTTCAATTGTATCACAAAAATAAAAATAAATACCTAGAAATAAATTTAACCAAGGAGGTAAAAGACTACCATGAAAACTATAAGACAATGATGAAAAAAACAGAACAAGACATAAATAAATGAAAAGGTATACCATATTCATGGATTTAAAGAATAGAATATGAAAATGTCCATACTGCTCAAAGCAATCTCCAGATTCAGTGCAAACCCTATTAAAGTATCAATGGCATTTCTCACAGAACTAGAAATAATAACCCTAATATTTATATGGAACCACAAAGACCCTGAATAGCCAAAGCAATCTTGAAAAAGAAGAACAAAGTTGGAGGTACTATGGTTCCTACTTCAAACAACACCCCATAGCTATAGTAATTAAAACTGTATGGTACTGGCACAAAAAAAGACACATATATCAATAGAACAGAATAGAAAGCCTAAAAATAAACTCATTCCTACATGGTCAATTAATCTATGACAAAGGAGTCAAAATATACAATGGGAAAAGCAAGTCTCCTTTTCAATAAGTAGTGTTGGGAAAACTGAACAGATATGTGCAAAAACAAAATTGAAGTACAGTGATCCCTCACCTATCACGGGAGTTATATTCCAGGGACCCCCGAGATAGGTGAAAATCCGAAGTAGTGGCGTTATATTATTTTATTATTTATATTTATTTTAAGACTTTATAAACCCTTCCCACACTCCTAGAAACCTTTCCCACTCTCTTATTAACCTTTCTCACACTCTTACAAACACTTCATGTGCTCTTAAACACTTTCAACACACTTAAAAACCTACATAATTTTAACAACATAAATTTTATATGAGTACTCACCAGTGAAGTATACTACAACTTGAATGATTAGGATCATAATTATGTAGCTGTGCAGTACTGATGGCAATGAAGGTGATGACGATGAGATGAATGCACTACACAGCCAAGAAGAGCATTACAGCTCTTCTGAAGGCACCACTGCATCAGGTGCTTCATCTTCACCTTAGGCCATAACTTCTATTTCCGATAAAGGTGTAGGCCTAACTGATCTCTTCATCTGAGTAAGGAACATAGTTATGGTGAGTTGCTGGCACTGCTTTCTATCTGCAGAGGCAGTTTCTCCATGCAGAGAAACGATCTTGAGTCCAAAGCATCTCCAAAATTTGTCAAACCAGCCCTTGCTGGCACTGAATGGGGTTGGTCTGGTGGGAGAAGCACTCGATGGTCCTGCTTCTGCATCGTCGTCCTCGTCTTCATCCTTACCACCATCGTGAACGTCCATGCTTTTCGCAAAATTATCATAAAGTTTTTTGGCCTGCATCGGATGGTGTTGGTATCCAGTGAGATATTCTTCCTGCAGTCATTTATGCACAGGGTCAATGTAGCCACCATCCTCACAATGGCTTATTGTGGGAAGTGACCACCCTCTTTGCAGTCTTGCTAAAAGTCATTGTTGCCATAGTCTTCTCGTCTTTCTTTATGTAGCGAACAGTAGATTCATTGATCCCATAATAGCAACCTCCAGCTGTGTAGCTTTTGCCTTCTTTTAACATGTCAAGAAGTTCCACCTTTTCTTTGATGGTAAGCATATTCCTCTGGCACTTGGGTTCACTGCCAGAAGCCTTAGAAGGCACAGAATGTTTGGGTGGCATCGTAGGGCTTGAAATAAATTCAAACTTTTACGAAAATTTCACAAAAACACAATTCCACAGAGTAACACTACTACTCGCAGTGATCAGGCGCTGATGTAAAGTGAACAAATGGGCACAGTGGGGAAGAGCAAACAGACCGATGCTACAGTCACTGAGCCACTCAGCACCCAGGATACAGAACACAGTGCTGTGGTTGGTTGCCTTCCATTCCATCAGCCAATAGTGTGCCATATACAATCTCACGATGGCAAACTTGCAAGCGGTAGTGGTGTACTGCATTTCCATTGTATACGGTACAGTATTCATCCACTGATGAAATGAATACTGTATTTTATTTTGATTCAATATTTTGGATTAACATTTTTATATTTTCTATTGTTTTAAATTTTTTAGGCAAAAATAATTAAAATCATAAATATTATGTAAATACCTATAAACTGCAAAATCCCACGATACAGTGAAAACCCTGCGATACAGAATTAGATATATATATTTTTAAAAACTTGCAAAACAGTGAGGTCGCAATAAGTGAACCGCAATATAGCGAGGGACAACTATATACCACTTTCTCAAATCATTTGCAAAAATAAAGTCAGAATAAATTAAAGAATTAAATGTAAGACTTGCAACCATGGAAGTCCTAGGATAAAACATAGGCACTAAAACTCTTTAACATTACTCTTAGCAATATTTTTAAAAATATATGTCCTCAGCAAAGGCAATAAAAGCAAGAATAAACAAAAGGGACTCCATCAAATTAAAAAGCTTTTGCAAAGTGAAGAAAATCACTGACAAGTCAAAACAGCAACCTACTGAATAGGAGAAGATATTTGCAAATGATATATACAATAACAGGTTAGTGTCCAAAATATATAAAGAACTCCTATAACTCAATATCAAAAAGAAAAACAATATGATTTAAAAATGAACAGAGGACCTGAATAGATTATTTCTCCAAAAAAGACATACAGATGGCCCACAGACACATGAAAATATGCTAAACATCACCAAATCATCAAGGAAATGCAAATCAAAACCAAAAAGAGATATCACCTCACATCTGTCAGAATGCCTATTATCAAAAGGTAACAAATTACAAGAGTTGAAGTGTGAAGAAAAGGGAATCCCTTTTACACTATTGGTGAACTGTAAATTAGTGCAGCCACTATGGAAAACAGTACAGAGATTCCTCAAAAAATTGAAAAGAGAACTAATGTACAACCCAGCAATTCTACATCTGGCTACTTATCTAAAGAAAATGAAAATACTAACTCAAAAAAACATATGCATCCCTATGTTCATTGTAGCATTGTTTACAATAGCCAATATGTGGAAACAACCTCAGTATCTACCTCAGTGGCAACCTCAGAATGGATAAAAAGATGTGATATATTACAATAAAACAGATTATTACTCAGCCGTACAAATGCATGAAACCTTGCCATCTGAAACAACACAGATGTACCCAGAGAGCATTATGCTAAGTGAAATAAGTAGGAAGAAAAAGACAAATACCATATGATTTCATTTATATGTGGAATCTAAAACCAAAACAAATGAACAACAAAAAGAAACAGAAATAAACTCCTAGATACAGAAAACTGATGGTTGCCAGAGGGGAGGAGGGTAAGGGAACTAAGAAGCACAAGCTTCCAGTTATAAGTCAGGGGGATATAACATATACCATAGTGAATACAGTTAACAGTATTCTAAAAACTTTATAGTAACAGATGGTTACTAGACTTATTGTGGTGATCACTTCATAAGGCATATTAAGTACTGAAATATTATGTGATACACTCAAAAGTAATATAATATTGTATGTCATCTATGATTAAAAATAAATTTGAAATATTTTTTAAAATCATGATGTTGAACAGGAAAAATAGGTGTTACAGAGAACACATATATCATTTATTATTTACATAAAATTCAAAAACAAGCAAATCTTAATGTAGGTGATACAGAAATGTGTAAAAAATATAAGGAAAAACAAAGAAGTAATCAATTCAACCTTTGGAGTTGGGGGATGTGGCTAAGGAGAGGTGATGAAAACGGGGCCAGGCACAGTTCTATTTCGTAAGTTAGTGGTAAGTATTCAGGTATTCATGTTAATGCTATTCTTTGTATCTTATTCACATGTTATAAATATGTCCTGTGTACACATAGCATTTTCCAAATACAATGAGGATTACTCCTCTTTTTACAAAGCTCTCAGAAGTAACACTGTCTTTAACAAACTATTTTAAAAGGTACTTTTTAAGAATCTGCAAGTAACAAGGACCTAGCATTCATTTAGGAGTTTATAAAATTATCTCTTTAATTCATACAACTCCAAGATGAACATTTTCATCTTCAGTTTACATATAAGGAAAGTGAGACTGTGTTGTTATGTAGATTGTCCAACCTTACACAACCTAGAAGAGGTGGGATTTAAAAAGTATCCAACTCTGAAACCCATGGTACAACTGTAGGTAGGACCATGTAAAATATAACAGCAAAAATAAATTTCCTGCAAAAACAAAACTAACTTGTGATGCTACAGTTTACTATTTTAACTATCTTAGCATATAAGATGTATCTGTAAATCATATTATAGTTTGCATTAATTTTATTCCATAGTATACCTCTTTATTACTTCACAATCATAATTTACCTTTAAAATCTATAAATTATAAAACTAGCAACAGATACTCATTATGTTTCTGGAAAGTCTCTACTTGGTCATACTTTTCATAATTAAAGGGAAGCTAAGAACATTAGCCATTGGCAGGCTGGAATTCAGTGCTCTCATTTCACTACCCTCCCTCATCAGGGATTCACTCAGACAAGCGAACAGGCTTTGGAGCCCCATAGAAATTTCACACTCCCTCCCTCTTTTTCCTCATCTCTCTCCCAATCATACTTCAAAACTTAATTTTGAACTCACACAGAAAACCTGATTAATACCATCTGGTTTTTTCTACTCCATGAACTCTGGGACTCTTAAGCACACATGCAACATAACTCATTTTATATATAGTTATTTGCCACCTTTTTATTTTGTTGTTTTGTTATGTGTGGTCACCCTGCAAGACCCACTGAGAAATATTTACAAATTTTTATTTCTTCTGAACTGTGAACTAACTTCCCTTTTCCCCAAAGCACCACCAACTGTGCTTTGTAAACAGTAGTCACTTAATAAATGCTTATTGACTTACTACAGTGGAACAGTTCGCCTCTGGTATTTCTCAATATCCCAGTGAATCCTTCACATCTATATACATGCTGGAGATGATACCAGGTACCGCTAGAGGCGTGGGGTCTTCCTGAGGGTACCTGGGACAAGAAAAACACAGAGAGAGACCAAAGACAGTCAGGAGAAACACAGAGAGAGGGAATGTGGAAGTAAACAGAGGATAGAATAAAGAATAAGAGGAGCAAAAGAGTCAGGGGTTACAGAGAGATTAAGCAGCCAGACACTCAGAGACGAGGAGGAAGTCAGCAATCTGAACTGGGGTTTGGGTTTGGAAACCACATTTTTAGTATATTTACTCATTGAATTGGAGCCCTCATGTTACTAAATTTATGATATCATCAACCATTTCAAAGGTATTTCTAAAGGTTTTCTGAGCTTGTATCTTTATTAAAAGTCATCTTTACAGGGTGAGAATCTTTACAGATGAGAATCTTTGGTCATACATATACAGAGGCATAAACATAATCCTCAAAACAACCCCTCTGTAAACAACTCTCTAATTTGGATGGTTACTTCAGAGGGGTAACATGACTTGCCCAAGGTCATCAGTAAGCACATACTAATTGGGGCCCTAAATCTTCTGAGTCCAAACCCAGGGCTTTTTCTGATATCCTATCCTGTCATTACTAGAAATGAATCACATACAAACTATTTTTATAAAATGGAATTCTAACTACACAGTCAAGATAAAATTTCCTATCTTTTGGGACACTGAAATACTCAGGTTATTCATGAGGCTATTTTACCTCAGGTCTTCATTTATTTTAAAAGTCCACCATAAAAATAAATCAGAATAAAAGTATCTCAGAATGACAGAAAATTTTAAACAGAAATGAAATTAAGTGAACATCCATTTGACAACATTTTAACATTTAAAAAAGGAGCCAGAATTAGCTCATTGCATTTACAACATTGTAATTTGAAAGTCTTAATGATTCAACAAATTTCAGCAGAAACATCAAAAGATGCTTCACATTTCAATAAATTTCTTAGATCTAAACACTAATAAACTTGTCTCAAACTTGTTCTTTCATAATGGCTCACCTAAAAGTCCATACTGCAGCTTAATCTCAGAATGGTAGAGAGAGTACAGATGGTTTATTGTTCGAGCCTTTGTAAGCATCCGTATTTTCTCTTTAAGAATCCCTATCTTCCTCTAAACAAGCATGCCCTTTAAGGAAGTAATTATTGTAATTGTCAGAAAAGCTCCTTTGACATAAGTATAAGCATGTTATTGGATTTCACACAAGACAATAATAATACATAGAAATTTCTCTTCAAGTGTGCAGCAATATATTTTCCATGTTCAGCAATTTTTAAACCAGTAATTTTCAAATAAGGCCTAAAGTATGATACTGCTCTGCCCTCTAGTGATTGGCTAGGATTTGCTTACTAAATGTTTTAATATATTTTTTGATTGTTTTGTGAGTGAAATTGAAGGTTTTATAAAAATACATACATATGATATCTAATTTTTCATTATTTGAGTAGTGAACAGAGAGTACTGGTAAACTTTTGGGTTGTAGTATAGACACAATTTAGGAAAGAGACACAATTTCTTTTCATAGGAAAGGTTCACCGGAGTATCGCAAACCAGAAATCATATTTAAAACAATCTATTCTAATCCTTCTTCGTATTTTACACCAAAAATTCAATTCAGTTTCTCTGTTAAAAACTTTATAAATTTCATAACTATAAATTCCAAATTGGTTGATTCTATTATTTTGGAGACTGGGGTATGAAGGTGCTATAACCTCGTATATACCACATATAGATGAACAATTTTTTGTTACTAGACCAAAACATGCTTAATAAAAAATTATACTGAACATCACCTACCCTTCATTGCTCAAGTACCACTTCAGGACTGCTCAGTAGCACTGAGCCTCAGTGATGTCATTAGGAAGTTACCACTTCATGTGTGGAAACAGTCATCAAGGGTGCCAGTTAAGACAGAGTTATTATACAAAGATTCACTCTGTTATTACAATTAATGGAACTTCCTTCCCTCTTAGTTTCTCTTGCCATAATTCTCTTGCAAAGAACCAATGCATTTCTAGAACAGCATTTCTACTCTCACTAATCCAAAGCTTATTACTTCGGCATCTGCACATGTGTTAAAAATAAACACTGGATCTGTGCTGTGAACGTAAAGGGTTACCTGCACATGTGAGGACAAGCCACAGGCAGTGTGGTGGTGTGGGGTTAGAAGCACAAGACCTGCGGCCAAAATCTCAGAAGTCCATCTCCAGCTCTGTCTCCGACTAACAGTGGGACCTTAGGCAGTTATTTAACCTCTGTGTGCTTCAGTTTCCTCACTACAAAGGGGAATAAAAAGAGATACCTACCAATAGTAATGTTTTATTATCTGGATAGGTATTTGGGTTACATGGGTGTATGCATCTTTCAGAACTCAGAGAATATACATTTAATATTGTATATTATACTTGATGTAAGTTTTATATCAAAAGAAAAACCTAATACATAAATATTGAACTCTAGTCAATAATACACATGCTAAACTATTTAGAGCAAGTGTAATAATGTCTATAATTTACTTTCAAATGCATAAAAAATTAAAATGATGATGGATGAAGGATGTGTTTAATAAAATGTTAGGGGGAAATGTGTGCCTTTCATAGAGTTGATATGAAGTTTAAGTATATATATAACAGTATTGAATATACAGAAAAGTGCCTGACAATCATCAATGACAAATGGCAATATATTTAAGCAAATGAAAGTGGCTTCCCTGGTTGAAAGAAAAGAATAAGAAAGTAAGGAGTTGTTGAACTTCCAAACTGGAGTGAACTGTTGCCATCAAGGGTATTAAAGCTCAAATTTCAAATACAGCATAAAACTGCATGGGCCATGTGGAGAACATGGTCTTTGAAATTCAGAAATACCTAATTTGAAACTACTCTGTTTTTAATTAGCCAAGAAGTTTAATTTGTCATATTCTGAGCCTCAGTTCTTCCATGTATAAAATGGGAACAATAATACCTATATCTCAGGGTCATTATGAAGATTAGAAAAAAATGCAAACACACATGCATTTGGCACATAAAATGTCAAAATAACAACTGAAGTTTTATCATTATAATGGTTATTACTACTTAGGGTGAGTCTTACAACTATTCTCTGCACATGAAAACAAAGTGACTCCATACCTGACTGTATCTGATTCTCTCCTAGAACTTGCATGTGAAGGGGGCCTGACTACTCTGAAGAGCTTTCTAAAAGGATCTTTATTAAGACAGTAAGCCTTATTTAAAGTTTGACTGCACTGAGTATAAAAGGAGAGCTGGCAATGTCAGAGAAATAATTAATCATCCGTATGTTATGCCAACTATAATATATATAAATACCACAGGTGAGGCATTTAGAAACTACATTTGCTAATAGTATTTTAAAGAAAGTTGCAATATACTTCAGTGCATTTCAGGATAGGACATTAGCACCTGGATAAGTTTTGATTTGAAACTGTCTACAGTAACATATTTAATGAAAAGAATATTAAAGTTACAATTAAAGAAGATGAATTTTAGGCTCCCAAGGCATGGGTTTATAAGTCATTAAAGATTACTCCATGAAGACAGTGGCTCAACATATAGTTTCAGCTAAAGAGAGAATCGAAAGCTTGGCAATGACGGCCTGTGCAGAGATAACACTGGCACGGCAGTGGCTGGGGGACCAGGCAGCCTGACATTTGCATGGAGATAAACTGGGAGGAACAACTGGGAAATGAGACAGACCACGCAACCCAGGGTTCCAGTGTGGAAAAGGAAAGCCTCAAAACCTTTGGCTGTAAAAACCTGTGGGGGTTGCAGCAGTGGGAGAAACTCCCAGTCTCACAGGAGAGTTCCTGGAGACACTCACAGGGTCCTGGAATGTACACAGACCCACTCACCTGGGAATCAGCAAAGGAAGGGCCCAATTTCCTTGTGGATAGTGAGGGAAGTGTTTGAAAGCTGGGGGAGAGTCGAACAAGCAGCATTGTTCCCTCTCTGGCCCCTCCCCCACATACAGCACCACAACACAGCTAGATGGGTTGCCCTGCCCTGGTGAATATCTAAGGCTCTTCCCCTTACAACATAACAGCTGAGCTCAAACAAATATGGCCCAAATGAAAGAACAGATCAAAACTTCAGAAAAAGAACTAAGTGACAAGGAGAGAGCCAACCTATCAGATGTAGAGTTCAAAACACTGGCAATCAGGATGCTCACAGAAATGGTTGAGTATGGTTGCAAAATAAAGGAAGAAATGATGGCCATACAAAGTGAAATAAAGGAAAAAAATACAAGGAACCAACAGTGAAGGGAAGGAAATCTGGATTCAAATCAACGATTTGGACTAGGAGAAAGAAATAAACATTCAACCAGAACAGAATGAAGAAACAAGAATTAAAAAAAAAAATGACAAGAGGCTGAGGAACCTCTGGGACACCTTTAAACATTCCAACATCCGAGTCATAGGGGTACCAGGAGGAGAAGAGGAAGAGCAAGAAATTGAAAACTTATTTGAAAACATAATGAAGTAGAACTTCCCCAATCTGGAAAAGGAAATAGACTACCAGGAAGTTCAGGAAGCCCAGAGTGTCCCCAAAAAGTTGGACTCAAGGAAGCACACACCAAGGCACATTATCATTACATTACCCAAGATTAAAGATGAGAGAATCTTAAAAGCAGCAAGATAAAAAAAGACAGTTACCTACAAAGGAGTTCCCATAAGACTATCATCTGATTTCTCAAAAGAAACCTTACAGGCAAGAAGGGGCTGGAAAGAAGTATTCCAAGTCATGAAATGCAAGCACCTACATCCAAGATTACTCTATCCAGCAAAGCTATCATTTAGATTGGAAGGGTAGATAAAGTTCTTCCCAGATAAGGTCAAGTTAAAGGAGTTCATCATTACCAAGCCCTTATTATATGAAATGTTAAAGGGATTTATCTAAGAAAAAGATCAAAACTATTAACAGTAAAATGGCAAGAAACTCATAACTATCAACAACTGAATCTAAAAAACAAAAACAAAAACAAAGCAAACAACTAGGATGGGAACAGAATCACAGAAATGGA